GCAATGAATGTACAAATGCGCTTTACACAATTGATGTATGGATTGTGATAAGAGTTGTATGAGCCCCTAATAAAATGATTAAAAACAAACAAACTGACCATTCAGAACAGATGGGCCCCGATAAAGGTGGTACATCCTGCCTCTGTCCTGATCATCAAAGACCTCAAGGACCCCCCAGACAGAAAGAAGCAGGACAGTGGAAATATCACTCTTGGTGACACTGCCAGCATTGCCTGCCATACGTGACTCTCTGGGACTATTTGAGAGATCCCTGGGACTGCCCAGTCTGTGGGCTGCACAGTTGATGCCCAGCACCCCACCCCCCCACCCCCCGACCTGCTATGTGCAGAAATGGAAGCTGCTAGTTCCCACAGAGCAAGTGTTGCTGTCGTTAGTCTGAGATGCTAAAAATAGTGAGAGGGAATGGCATTTATCCGGAAAACTGGGAACGATGATTTCATAGAGAATTCAAATAGTTTATTTGCATGATTGAACATCTTGTATTCAGCAGGGTTCCACATATCTGAGAAGAACATTATTTGGGGGAAGAGCAGGATCCCCTCCAGAGAGACCCTCTTCTCTCACATGCTGGGTGCTTAAATGTCCACCATGTCCAGCAACGTGGAGAGATGCAGCTCGGAGGCGACCTCCTCCTCCTTTGAACTCTGGATAAGCCTTTCCAGGTGCTTGAGCCGCTCAGTCAGAGACCCACTCTTCACCTCAGATGGCTGCACGTGCTCTCCTGTACTTTTGCTCTGTTTGAATTTAAAAAAAAAAAAAAAAGGTAATTTTGGGAAGGCAATAAACCAAGACCTATTTTCTTTCTGTGCAAACACTAGACCTGGCTCACATTAGGAACCTCTGGGCCCACCAGCCTTGGCACCCACAACGCACCTCCCTCCCTCCCCTAGCACATACATCCATCACAAACAAGTTCCAGGATCAGGCATTTTTACCAAGCACGATGGCCAATGGCTGTTCACACTTTACCCTATTAATCTATTGCAATGATTTAAAGATTCCTGTTTGGGGATCATTACCTTGTTACCCCTTTTATGCTATATAATCAATGCTGACTTAAATATTTTATTTCAATTTTTGTTACTATTTGGCTGGTTTTGAACAGAATTGGCGATTCAAAGGGTTGAAAAGGTTTAGTGAAAGTGTAAACGGTATGTCACTGGTGTCTCCTTTTCTCCCCGTTGACTGAGGGACGACCCCCCACCCCCACCCGGGGCAACCCTCCCAGTCAGCTGAGGGCATACTTTGTGCCAGCTCAGTAGCACCCATCTGTAATGAAAACTCATATTTTGCTCTGTTCACCCCTCAAGGAAGGATGAGGAGGTCGAAAGAGCCTGGGCTTTGGCAACAACTGACCTGCCTTTGAAAGGCAGCCCAGAACTGGCCTGCCGGAGAGTCTTGGTGAGGCCGTCGACTCTGTGAGAGCTCCTTCTTGTGTCACACAAGACCGGTCCCCAGAGGGAGGCCAGGGGGCTGCCGTGGTCAAGATAACCAGACTCTACAGAACTGCCTCCTGCCCTCGACACCAGGCTATGGAGTCTGTCCCCATGTCCTGCTTTTCACAAGCAGACTCCAGGTGAGCCAACTCTGCAGTGACGCAGGAGCCCTCTTGGTGCTGCTGGGGAGGCTTGGGACTGCTGACTGCAATCCAGCCCACTAGCTGCTGCTTCTCGGGAGAAAGATGAGGCTGTCTGCTCCAGAAGAGATCTGTGGGAAACCCTATACAGTGATACCTCGATTGTCAAACGGCTCCACGCTTGAACTTTCCACTACTCAAACAGCGTAGTTCAGAAAAAATCTGCTAGGTGTACTTAACTTTGCTAGTAATCAAACCAAAAATACAACTTGAAAATATCTGTATGGGCTGAGAATACATGACGGGCCTTCTCTCTCCGTGGACCCAAAGGGGTGCTGCTTCAGTCTAAGTGCCATTCTAGCTCAGTCGACAAGAGTGCTGGTGTTAGTGTGTTAAAACATCTGCCGCTGTGCTTTTTGTGTGCGCTTTACTTGCGTAAAATATTATAACCATGGCTCCAAAGAAAGTTGTGATACTAGTATTAAAGCCAAGGAGAAAACTGAGCACCACAATAGAGTTAAAGAAAGAAACTTGGAAATTTGAATCAGGTTGCCGCTCGTCTGACATGACAGCTGAAGACATGGCTAAGTCAACATTATCAACATTTTTAAAGGGGGAAAAAAGTGGTTAAGAGTGGCTAGTGTAGTGAAAGGTATAAAATCGTTAACATGGAACCAAGAGAATAGTCGGGCAGTATCAGCTTTCTTCACCTCACTAGCTTATGCACCCATTTTGTCTTCTGCGACTGTGTTGGAAAGGTGAGCATCACAGAATGCCAGGTTACTAGAACAAAGTGTTCTTGCGTTGAGGGAGTACTTGAGTAGAGCCCAATGTTCACCTGCTACCTGATTTTTCTTTTTAAACACTGAGCATTAACTATTTTTATTGTAGTAAATACATGTGTAACAAAAACAAGAAACCATGAACCCAGACCACGGAAAAGGATGCAAAGTGACTGTGTCTGGGTGATCAGAAACAACTCAGTGGTGGTAGCTTATCCACGACAGTGATATTCCAGAGGCTAAAAGCCTCCACGGCGAAGTTGTGTCATCTGGGAGTCTGAGAACACTTTATTTGGTTTTCCATGATTTCTTTTCTTTTCTTTTTTTTTAGTTTTCCATGATTTCTTATGGGAAAAATTCTATGTTCCATTCTCAAACTTTTCGGTGTTTAAGCATGAATTCGGAACAAACTGAGTTCGACAACCAAGGTATCACTGGAGAGGGTGCCTCTGAGGGAGAGCTGACTTGATGGCAGTGGGATATTTTGGTGTGTACTATCTGTAGCCCCGGTGTTGTAGTGGTTACATGTTGGGCTGCTAACCTCAAGGTCAGCAGTTTGAAGTGACCAGCTGCTCTGTGGGAGAGAGAGTTGTAGTCTTGGAAACCCACAGGGGCAGTTCTACCCTGGCCTCTAGGGTCGCTATGAGTTGGAATTACCTTGATGGCAGTGAGTTTGGTTTTCGACTAGCAACGACAGATGGAGCTCAGGAAGTTTAAGCTAATCACTTATTATCATGATAGCATCAACCAATGCTCCTCTCCCCACTCCACTCCTTCAGTACAGGCAGTCTCTGGGTTACTTCTGAAGTGTGTCCAAACAGATGCGCATGGTTCTTATTTAGTGTTACAAGAGGGCTCAGAGCCATTTCTATGATTTATAAAGGTGGAGATGGTCTGTGATAAAGACCTGGTTCAACTGCATCACATTCAAGGGCACACCGGAGTTGACCAGAAATGGAATGTCCCTGCTGCATTCATAAGCTGGGGAGGCCGTTCTGCACACTGCCTTCTGACCTGTGGACTTGTACTTGTGGAAGTGTTCGCTGGTTGGGTAATGTGAGGCAGAGACACCAAAGTCTGAGGAAGGTAGAGGGGAAGGAAAGTTGAATTTGCAAATGCTCCCGAGTCTTCAGACAACCACCGCTGAAGCTGATCTTCAAACCTGAAACAACATGAAATCCAAGCAATTCAGGACCACCCACCCATCAGGAAGCACAAAGTTCACTGTGCGTATTTTCCTCCTACATACAAGGTTGGGTGGGTGAGTGGGTGTGTGTGTCAAAAAGTTCTTGGAAAATGGGAATTCAAACTAATGGAAAATTTCCAAAGTTTTTGATGACCCCTCCTTTTCCTAACGGTAGGACTATGTTACAGCAACTGAGGAGAACTGTACTTTTAAAAATGTAGTATTTACCTTTACAAGCCCAATTTGTATTTGACGAGACAAGTGGCATTCATCCAAAGACTTCTGCTTTTATGCTATTTAGAATCAGTTATTATCCATATTTTCTGTTTAGCTTTCTTTGGTTACATGTATCTTTGGTTAATTCTTATCTCTTGATGGACTACTCAAAGTACGGATTATTGCTTAGCCTTTAAATTTTACTAACGCAAATATCTAGTGTCATTTAATCAACTTCAAAGCAGTCTGCTTCCATAATCTAATCTCATCCTGCCAAAGGCAGAAATCTGATTCTAAACCACTGAACTGCTAAAGAACCTGCTTTAAAATTCATGACATCAGCATTCTTTCATCCAACGCCATTGCTGAGCCCCCACTGAGTGTGAGGCAACTGTCCAGACCCTAAGGACACGGTAAAATCCCAGCAGGGGGACACTGCACGGCAGCTCACGGTACAATGGAGGAGACAGAGTTAGGAGACACAAGGGCCGCAGGACCGACGGGGATGACACTGGAGGACAGGGCAAAGGCTTGGGGACGGGAGGGCTTCGAGGGAAGAAGACACTGAGCAGAGACCTGAAGGAGATGTGATGGAAGCCTTAGGGATACAGGCTGGGGGTCTAGGTGAGGGTACAGAAGGTGTGGCCGTGAACAGGCTTGAAGCAGCAGCCGGAACAGGGTAGCAGGGGTCCAAGAGAAACGGGAACAGATCCCATGGGACCCTGACAGTTCACAAGGGGCATGCCTTTGCTATTAGGTGGCAAGGAAGTGAGCTCCAAAGTTTCCAAGCCAAGCAGTGCCATGCCTCTATCTTGAGAGGGTGCCCTTGCCCTGTCTGGGCATGAACAGGCCACTCCTGTGGTAGCAGCTGGAAGGAGGCCGTGGCCTGAGCAGAGGGCACTCATGGGGTCATGACCAGTGGTCTGAAACCGAGTATATTCTGAAAAAAGGCTGCCTGACCTGTGGAAGACAACTGGGTTGGCTGGAGGCGGGGGACAAGGGACAGAGGTGGGCATGAGGCCTGGACAGTGGGAAAGATGGAGCTGCCGTCCGTCACTAAGAAGGTCTTGGCAGGGCGGGGGTAAAGGTCAGGCTAGGGGAAACTAGGGATCTGGCCTGGAATGTGTAAAATCTGAAGGGCCTCTTAGAACCCAAATAGAACCTCCAAGAGGCGGCCAGAGAGCCTCATCAGAGTTCAGAGAAGAACTCCGGGCTCACAGTGAACACTTTAGCTGTCAGAGTCTGATGCAACTTCAAATCTACAAGACTGGGCACAATCACAGGGAGTGGGTCTCATGAGAAGTGGTGTGAGACAATGAGCAGAGGTGTGAGGCGGGGCTGGGAGGAAGGGGTGCCTGGCAGCTGCAGGATGGACACCAAGGAGACTGGAACTTGAGTGCTGATTGTTGGGGTGGGGTGGGGGCCGTCTCACTCTAAGGAAAGCAGAATGATGGTAGTGGCCAGACAACACAGGACTGAGAGGGAGCCAGGCCCTACATTGGGCCCCTACAGGCTCCAGGATGGGGACCAACTAGGGAGGAGACCCAGGCCCACAAGGGGGTAACATGGCTCAGTCCTAGGAGGCTGCAGATATGGCAGGGAGGATGCCCTCGCTGCTGGTAAAGCCGTAGACGTGGCTGTCAGGTGAAAGCATGGGGGAAGGAGGACCTGGGGGTGGGCTGGGACAGGAAGAGGAGCCCTGCAGTGAGCAGGAAGTGAGTGATGTAATGGTCCCACCCAAAACAAACAAGCAAGCAAGCAAACTTCCTGCCAGGGAGTCGATGCCAACTCCACAGGGCAGGGAAGAACTGCTCCTGGTGTGTGTCCGAGACTGTTAACTGTTCACGTGAGTCGAAAGCCCCATCTAGCTTCCGAGGAGTGGTGGGTGGTTTACAATTGCTGACCTTCGGATTGAATCCCATGCCAACTCATAACCACTATGCCACCAGGGCGCCTTATGTTCCTATCACAGTGGGGCAACCCACCCCACCCACACACACATTCCACTAGAACACAAACGTGGTTGTCAGTGAAGATAAGGAAAACTCGTCCGATGGGCTAATGGACCGCGTGACCATCAAGATAAAAAGTGAGATGATGTCTGGCTACCACTACCAACTGCTGACTAGGAGACCACATTACAGGTCCTGGATAGAGAGGAAGGAAAATGTGGATGAGAACTCAAACCTCGGAGACGAGGCTTCCTGGTCGCACAGACTGTGGGACCTCAACGGCTAAGGCCCCCTTCACGTCTGCAAAGGGACTCTCCCCAGTGGTTTGATTTTCTTCAGCCAGTAACACTGTGAGTCACGCATCTGAGGCCATTGATCTGAGCTCCAGAGGGCGCATGTACCCAAGGGCAAAGTCCAGAAGGGTCAGGGAAGGAGGAGGAACGGAAGCAGGAACCAGGAAGGGAGTGGAGTTAAGTAGCGGTACATTGTGGGGATTGCAGTGAATGAAATGAAACAAAATGTGTATGGATTGTGGAATGTAAAGTTGAGTATCTGCTCTAAGATTTCACCTAATGCATAGTGAAAACCTTTTAAAAATATGTTTAAGTTGTATAAATACATAAACACTCATGTTGATAAACTGCATGTTCTTCTGATACCTCAAAAATGAGATTTAGTGTTCTTGACACGATGTATGTATGGACTGTGATAAGAGTTGAATGAGCTCCCAATAAAATGATTTTTTAAAAAATGAGATTCAGGACTCTTCTGCTAAAGTTTTAAAATAAAGACAGATTTTTAAAACCGTTCAACAAATGAAATGGATTTTAGATAAGACATTCAAAAACACATTCTCCAGGGTACAACCCCTGCCCTCAGGAAGCTTCTACTTTAAGTGGGTCTGACTGGCCTTCGTTTTCAAACAAAATCACATCACCCTCTCCCAGCCCACCGGTGGCTGTCAGCACCATCACTCTGTCCTATGCACCAGGCTGTGTCACCAGCACACCGGCGTCCGGTCTGTCCAGAAGCCACAGTGTAAAAGAAGTGGATGGTGCGCACTCACCTCCTGCTCTCCTCCTTCTCCAGCAGGAGGCTGCTGGCCAGGCACTGGGCGAGGCGTTCTCCGGCCGAGGCTCCACAGATCAAGTCCTCTGTGCGGGGGACACCCTCTTTCCAGCCAGCCGCAGGGCTCTTCTGCTTCAGGTGGACGTGAAGTAACGTGGTGGGGAAATGGTTCACAGAAGGGTGGAGAGACTTGACCCCCAAGCTGTAAGCACGGTTTAAAAGTTATAGTCAAGAGAGCAGAGGCCCCTCACCCTGGCATCGCATCTCCCTGCGCAAGCAATGCCCACCCCGGGGCCCAGGTGCCATTTCCACCCCCGCTTGCTCTGTGGACCTTACTTAGGCTGCCACAAGTTTGTGCTCCAGGCGGCAGCTGTGGGTTTCCATCTCGACTGAGTCCTCTGTCCTGCCCACGCTTAAAGAGGCCCTCTGTTGCTTCTAAGCAGGGGTCAGACTCAGCTTTTATGTGCCGCTCTTAATCCTCCCGGGAGTCATGTGTGTACACACAGGGGGAGGGGAGCTGGTGCCTTCTCTCAGATGCAGGTACCTAGCCCAGAACCTAGAACCTTGCTGCCCCACAGTTCACACTTGACACGGCCCCTGTGGTCCGCAGGCTCCATTCTCGTCCAGTTGCCTATTGCAACATGGCCAAGTGCTTTTGAATCCCAGAGCATCACTACATGCTTTGATGTACGGCAAGGCAGACTCTTCCTCACTGTTACTCTTTTCAAGCACTTCGCAGTGGCTGCTGATGAATTTTACAGTGAACGTATCTGGTTCCAGGAGGAAGTCGGAGTGGAATTGTTCCTGCTCTGTGCGCCTGCCCTCCTCCCCACCCGCTCTGTGCAGTTGGCTTCGCACACAAAGGGGGCACCCTCCCATCCCGGCCCACGTGTGGTGACCTTGTCACAGCTGTGGGTGTGAGCTCCCTATGCTGCAGGTCCATCTCACCCATCAGTTCAATGAACCCTGAAATACTGACAGTCTGCTGACCATTTTAGGCCAAGGACGTCCACTGGGGAATGAGACCTCCCCCTACCTCTCTCCTCGGACTGTGTGCCCCCATCATGCCCTGCTCAGTCAAGGGGAAACCACTCACTGTCTGGAAACAAGATTCCCTCCTGCCTCCAACAGCACGCTCTCCCTTAAACCCTTGCCTGCTCAGCCCAGGGCAGGACCGCACTGAGGGGGTGTGTGTGTTCGGTTTAACCTGAGTGGGGATAAGGACTTTTCCCCACACACTCAAGAAGAGCTGAGAGGTGGGTAGACTTTAAGAAACGCTCTCCACCCAGGCTCGTCCTCCCGGGAGCTCAATGAAGCCCGGCGGCACCGTGCTGCATCCCCCCGGCCTTTCTATGGCGGGGTTATCGTTATGTTCTTTGCACAAACTTCTCTGTCAGGTAGGGCAGCAAGGAGGATCCCAGAGGAAGAAGTGAGTACACACACGCACACACGGATCTCACCATCCCTGGCTCCTCTGCAGCTCCTTCTGCGTCTGGGTCCTGGCTTGTTCCCAAGACAAAGGGACTTCATATTTTTTCAAATGGTTTTTAAAAAAATATACACATATCTGACCATCTTCACTCACTGCCTCTAAAGAAGCAACACAAAAGCACGTCAGAAGAGAGCATGCAGAGACCTCTGCCTAAACCTACAGCTCAGGCCAACCTTCTGCGCAACCTGAGCTCCCACTCGCTTTCCGACTCCCAGGCCCAGGCCAAACTTACACTAACTGTCCACCGCCCACAGCCCAGTCATTCAGGCAGGCTGTGTGGACACATGGCTTGGTGGCCTCCCTCTGTCTGGGACCCACAGCCCATCGGACCCTTGTCAGCCCTCCCAGTTAATCCACCAGCCAGGCGGCAGTGCCTTAAAGAGATAGGCAGGCGGATGCAAAGGGCCAAGAGCTGCCCACCTGAGGAGACAGGGAGACGGGGAGGTGCCCAGTCCCGCAGCTTGTGGTCAATGCACAGGGCAAGAAGGTCATCCCAGGGGATCTCGGAGACGGCGGGGCCCGACTCTTGGCCTGCTGTGGGGCTCTGGCTCCTCCACTTGCTGTAGGTCCTGCTGAGCAGGCGCTCCACCTGGGACTGGAGGACAGGCTGCGTCTGGCACGAGCTGGAGACCTGAGACACGTACTGGAGGATCATGGCGCACACGGGGGTCCAGGGCGCTGGGGAGAGAGGGCACGTCAGCCACTGAGCGAGTGGCCTGCTCCCTTGGTGGAGCTGCCACCTGGGGCAGCCTCCCTGACTCTGATGCTACAGTAGCAGCTCATCTGGGAGCTGTGGGGCAGGGTGCCACCTCGAGCAGGGTTAACTGGGGTGTCCTGGCCACAACTCAGCCACATAAAGCACATCCCCTAAAAACATCGAGTGCTGACCAAGAACGGAGTGGCCTCTAGGCTGCTCAGGGCTCGTGCCAGCCAGAAGACCTGCAGGGCACAGCAGGACAGCCTTGTGAAGAGGAGCCATGGACTCAGAACAGTCATGGGCAGCCTCCCTTGCCGCCTAGCTGCAGCTCCTCCCAGGATCCTCCACCTCCCCTCTAGAGGAGCCAACAGATGGTCAACCCCAACCAGGCTCATCCTAACTGGTCGAGAAAGGGTGGGCAGAGTGGGGGAAGGGGCATATACATGGGAGACAGGTGTCAGGGGTAGAGATAAGCACAGCCCCCCTCATACACAAGGGCAGCCTGGCAGAGGACACAAACTGTACACCAGAGATCAAGATACCAAGGTAGCTTCCTTTCCCCACCAACCCCTCCCGGCTTCCCTCAGCCAAGGCTCGCACCCCCAGGCGGTGGGAGGTCCATCTGCGGGATCTGAAAGGCAAGCACAGCCTGCTTTAGCCAGGCCAGGTGCTCCGGGCTATTCCAGTGTAGGTGGGGCAGCAGCTGGCTGCCCCCGACCTCAGCAAACTCAGCTATGGGCCAGGACAGTTCGCAGAGCTGCTCGAAGGAGGCCACCGAGGCAAGGAAGTGCAGCACGCTGTTGAAGAGCTCGATGACGGCCCCAGGCTCCTGCGAGGCCAGGCCGGCCAGCCGCCGCTCCCGCCGGTCGTGGAAAAACCGGTCACTGAACTCCCGCGTAAGCCCATCCTCCACGTAGTGAGTGAGCGTCTGGCAACAGAGGTCCAGGGTGCGGGGGCATCGAGAAACCAGCCATTGCACTGCCTGTGAGACCTGAGAAGGGGAACGGGCAGGCAGACCTTCAGGTGGGATTCCTCAGGAGACCAGCATGCACTGCCCACTGGTCATGGCCCCACAGCACCTGCAGCTCCCCTCCGCTCAGGGTCAGAGCAGGAGCCACATCTCCACCTGATTGTTCCCCGCTGGACACTCCAGCCAGAGCCACCTCCTTGGCCTGTGGTTACTTTCATCTTCCCTATGTGAACCTCAGCACAGAGACCCTCTGTTTAAATTACCGCTAGTTGTATGTGTTACAGCCACCCTAGGAAGTTTACATTCAGAAACAAGAGCTGGCCATTTCACACAAAGTCATCTGTTGCAGGTGACAGGACTCTCTTTTACTTTGATGTGTGCTTTGTAGAATGTCATCTGTATGGCACAAGTTAAACTTGCACAAAGACACAACTCATGAGACAGCACAGGACAAACGGAGAATATCTGCTGTGAAAAGGGGTGAGAGGATACCTTAGCTGTGCCTCGTAAGTCACTGATGGAATCTGGGATCTCAATGACGGTGTAATCAGAGATCAGCTTTGCCGACACCAAATCCTGCAGCATCAGGCCTTTGGGAAAAGAGCCAAGTGTCCCACAGTCTGCAGGGGCGTACACACAGACACACACACATATCCATGCAAGTGCACGCACATACTACCTGCAGAAACACACACACACACACACACAGTACACACTAGCCAAGGACACAGCTCGCCCACTGCACCTGGCTCACGTGGCAACGACGCTGTGGGCATTGTCCAGGCCTCCTGAGGGCTGGGCTCCACCCACTCCCTACCCCCTTCATCTCATAAGGAGGCTTCATCCACGTACCATCCTCCACGTCCCTCTCAATGGTGTCGCTGCCCAGGCTGGGTATGAGAACGGCCAGCGGCACCTCGGGCAGACAGGGCTTGACCTGCAGGAGCTGCTTGAGCTGCAGGAGAGCCGACAGCCAGTACACATCTTCTTCTGCCTCATCCTCACTCTGCACTTGGGCGGGCAGCAGCAGCAGCAGCCCACTGGCACCCAGGAGATCCTTCTGCGCCTGCACAGCATCTAAGGCGTGGTCACTGAGGGCGCCGGACACCACCTGAAACAGCACCAAGCCCGTCAGGACAAACCAAGGGCACCACTGGCACAGGTAAGCCCAGTCAGAGTTGCGATGATACACCTACCAACGTCATGGCCAATCCCCAAGCCCGGGAACAATGTGCCAAACAGTGCACCAACTCATTTAACCTTGACAGCTGAATCTTACAGAAGGCACAGAAAAGGGTAACGAACCATGGCAGCTGACGGAGGAGGGACCTGCCACTTGTAGGGGCAGAAAGAGAAGCAGCTGTCACTGGCCTGGGTAACAGAGGAAGCCTGCTGGTGGGGTGGCAGGTAATGCAGGAATTGGCAGCAAGGGGGAGTTCAAGTCATGGGGTGCAGCTGCAAGTCAGGCAGGGACTCTGACCACAGCCCCTGGTTGCTTCAGACACCAAGTCCTCATCAAGCCCAAAGTCAGGTGTGTGTGGGGCGAGGGGCAGGCTCTCTATCCAGCAGCAACCCTGGGAGGAGGCTGTATGAGTCCCCCAACCAGCCTGAAGGAAACACCCAGGTCAGACCTCTGAGGTCCCCAGCAGGCTATCTGGGACTCCTGGCCCTGTGTACCCCTGGGAAAACCACGTGGCGGGGGTCATACCATCTAGACCAGTGGTTCTCAACCTGTGGGTCAAGACCCCTCTGGGGGTTGAACGACCCTTTCACAGGGGTCACCTAAGACCATCAGAAAACACAAGTATTTCACAATATATAATTAGATATTGTTTTGTGATTAATCACTATGCTTTAATTACATTGTTTGTAACAATGGAAATACATCCTGCATATCAGATA